CCCCCCTCCGGTGTCCACAGCCAGCCACATGCAAAACAGCTTAATCTGCTGCTTAATAAGAAGTTTCGGAAACTCACGTTGGGTGACATGTCCATTTTCTTTCATACAAAACATCATTGTTAGATGCTGGCCATTTTTAGGAAAGTATGTGTGGGCCACTCTTCTTAAAGAGGGCTTGCTGCTGCAGCATGCAGAAATGAATATCTTGTTCAGCTAACAATATTTACCTATTGTTGATGTCCTTTGCATTTTGTGACTTTATTGTTTTGAGTTTTATTGGGTACTGGGCATTCTCGGCCACTTTTGAGAAATAACTATATTTTAAAACATAAGATAAAATATAAATACATCGATATTCTAACAAACACAGTATCATATGTCAGATACGACTGAAAATTTAACAGGCACTTACCTCCTTCTTGTCTCTAAGTTTGTCAATCTCGTTTTTGAGCTGGTCAACTTTCTGGAAGGATTCCAGGCAATTCACAGCATACACCAAAACAAAGCCATCAGCGACAGAGAAGTAATGTCTGGGGAACTGTTCGACTCCCTCCACCCCTTTGGTGTCATACAGACGTAGCTGTTCCTTTACTCCCCGATCGGTTTCAGCCAGAGCCACATACACATCCTCTACAGTCGCATTACATTCCATGCCTGTGGTTTTCAAAAGCAAAGGAGAGTCCCTAAAATAACCACAACATTCAAGGAAGGACATGCAGCAGCACTTCCACCATGCACATGTAGGGGAATGACATCCCTCAAGATCTGACACTGGACCTTTTCCTCTGTTATTCAGAGATGATGAGCAAGGCAAATATTTATTTATTCAAGTACTCGCACCCCACTTTTCTCTTGCAAAGCTGCACTCAGAGCAGCTTACAAAAACAAACAAAAAAAGAACCACCATCTAAAATCGCAATACAATTATAAAACAGAAGACGCAACCGTGGGGTGCCCTCTTGCCCCTCCTGTTGTCCCTGTCACTGGATTCCCCTCCCTCACATGTGGTTCCTATCAGTAGAGGCTGAGCTATGCTTCAGCGGCAACTCCACTCCAACAATATCCTCAAGTGTGTATTTCTTCCTCATTCCAGGATTCAAGTGTCCCACAAGCAGGCCTGTCTCTGCAGGCAAGAGGCCTGCTGAAACCTCCAGCAGTGTCCCCTTCTAACCTTGACTCCTATAGGATACGAAGGACATAATTCTGTGGGGGACTGCACGACGGGCCTCGCAACTCCTCTCCCAACAAAGTCTACAGTGATATCAGGGCATATGGATGCCCTGAGGCAGAAAGTAGGGAAGGAAGAGTCCTTGGTGCACAGTGCGACATAAACAAACCTCCTCCTAAGACCAAAACATCTAGCCATGTCAGAAGTAATACAGTCGAGCCTCTATTCAATAATAACTAGCAATAGTACTTCATGGTTACCCCCACAATTATGGTGATTTCAGTTTAACATAGTGAGAGTATCAGGCGAAGATCTGGGAGGTCTCCACCCCCACAATTATGGTGATTTCAGTGTAACATAGTGAGAGTATCAGGCGAAGATCTGGGAGGTCTCCACTCTGCCATGGAAGCTTGCTTGGTGACCTCGGACCAGTCAAACACGCTCAGTCTTACCTCCCTCACAGGGTTGTTGTTGTAAGGATAAAATAGAGGAGCAGAGAGTGCTGAAAGGTGCTTCAGATCCCCATTGGGGAGAAAGACAGGGTACAAATGAAGTAAATAAAGTCTCGTGACATTATTTATTAAATTAACATTTAATATTTATAAGTTAGAAGGTGCAAAAGAAAAACACATAGCTCTTACCAACAATGTGGTTACTGTACAGAATCTGTTCCAAAATGGCAGTTTTCCCAACAGAAGCCATTCCACACACCACCACCTTGTAACCTTTTCCCATCTTCTTTCAAGTATTTGGTGAGGCAAAGCAAAAAAACCCCTATCAACACAACAGATATTTATTACATTTAAGATGCTGTAGTGAGCTGTAGTTGGAAAGGCATCATGAAGTCAGGCCTTTGACATGTTTACCATACTTAAAGTGAACTTGAGGACATAGTCTTAAGGACAGGAATAAGCGTTCTTTTGATTTGCATACTGCCATGTTTATACAGTCCCAAGAGTAACACACGCAACTGTCCCGCAACAGGAAGGATGGGGTGGCAGAGGAAATCGTCTCTCCCGCCTCTGCTGTTAGCCTAACCACACCCACCAGTACATGGAGCCTTCCACCAGCAACTACGGTTACCAACAGGCTTGGAGGGGGGAGGGAGAATCTTTAACAGAGCCTTAATGTAAGGGTATGAGCAGTAGAAGCTTATGGAAAATTACATTGTCTGGTAAATATTCCCCCAATTTACTAACAGGCATGTCTATATAACTCATAGCTTTTTAGACCAAACAAAATTATACAAAATAAAACAGAACAATACACAAAACCCAAATTGTCTGGTACATAACATGCTATTAAGCTTCTATTAAAGGGGCAGAACACTTTTCTCCAGGCCTGTTGGGAACCCTAGGTCCAACCTGTTTGGCATAATGCAGCAATGTCTAAAAGCCATTAACCTGGGATTCAGGCCACTGTAGGTCAAATCCAAGGAGCTAGCAGCTTTGCCCTTAGAATTATAGGCACATAGAAAGGGTTTTGGTGCTCCAGAGGTACCACCAATCCCCTTTGCTCACTCAAAAAGAAGAAGTCTTAATCCACCCCAGGCAAATGAAGAGTATCCCTCACTCTTCAGAAACACTCAAAGAAAATTCTCTTAAACCATCTGAACCCTCACGAAAACTGTTCAACTGTTGCCCTGCTCCAAAATTCCACCATCTTGGCCCCTCCCATTCATGCAAATTAGAACTTCGGACAAATTAGCCTGCAGGCTCCTTGTAACACCTGCAGAGCCTAGCAAGGATTAACAGATGAACTGGAGATGAAAAACTGCAGCTCGCCTTCCCTCCCTCTGGCAGCCTCTGCCTGGGAAACTATGGCCCAGTTGTGCAATGCCAGCTGCCAGGCTGAGCCCAGTTGTGTGATAGAAAACATGAAGGGGGGAGTACTTCATTCTCTAAATGGTCTAAATTCCTGCTCTCAGTTGAATTATTTGATGCTTACAGGCTTGTCCTCCTCTCTCAATTTTACAGGACAATGGTAAGGATTAGGGCTGTAATCCCAAACATCTAGGGCTGGCCCGTCATAGACAATTTTTAGGCAGCTGCCTAGAGAGGCCCCTTAGGAAGAGGCGCCCCCCCGGCCTGCCTCCCTGTGTAAACAGGGTAGTAAATTGCAAGCCACTGCCCACTTTCTGGGACGGTGACCCACTTGCCCAAGGGGAGCCAAAGGCGCCGTGGGGAGCAGCCTGGAGCCGGTCCTGCCTGTGGCCACCGGTGGGGGCGCTTCGCTTCGCAATCACAGGCCACCCTCTCGCCCCTGCGCCTCCGGCCAGCCGGCGGGGGGAGGGGAGACTCCTGGCGCACCTGCCTTCGCCGCCCCGCCACCTTCTTCCGCTGGTCGGCGGGACCCAGGGCACCTGCGCTCTGCCCACCACCACCGCCCCAGGCTCTACCTGTGCCGTCTCCCTCCACCTGCCCCAGCCAGCCCTACCTGGCACCTGCGCTCTGCCCACCACTGCCACCCCAGGCTCTACCTGTGCCGTCTCCCTCCAGCTGCCCGAGCCGGCCCTACCTGGCAGCCGCCCCATCCCCGGCCCTCCAGGGCCCCACCAGAGTCAGTCCCGCTGTCCAGCCTCCAAGCAGGGCCCCAAGCCAGGCCAGGTAGGATTGCCGAGGATGGAGGTGGTGAAGGCCGGGTCGGGCACACGCAACAGGTGCTGGCGGCTCCCCGCAGCCAAGGAGCAGCTTTCCAGAACGGAGGGCTTAGGGTTGCCAGCCTGCAGGTGGGACCTGGAGACACTCCCCCTCCCCCGGCATTACAGAGATCAGGTCCCCTTGAGGAAAGGCGTGCACTGAACTCGGCTAAACTGCCTCCTCCCCAAACTCTGCCTTCGCCAGACTCCCCTCCCCCAGTCCCCAGGAATTTTCTAACTCAGAGTTGGCAACCCTGTTTAGACTCCAGACCAGTGTTCCCTCTAAGCTGAGTTACTGTGAGCTAGCTCACAGTTCTTTAGCCTCCGGCTCACACATTTTTGTCTCAGCTCAGGAAGGAGGGCTCCAGAGCAAACTAATCTATGCAGGAGCCAAATCACTCGCTCACAACTTTCATGCCAGTAGCTCACAAAGTACAATTT